TTTGATATGTATTTCACCAATGGCAAAGTGGAGTATCATTTAAAGAATATTCAAAGAAAGAAAATGACTCCAACATCAAAGTAGGTCTAATCCCTCCACCTGAAAAGAAAAGGAGCTGCCCTATTTGTTAAAATTAGTTGAACAGGACACGAAAACCTTCATTGCATTGCTGAGAACTCTTCTTAATCCATCATTGTTGATAAAATGCTTCCCTCTAAAATGATGCTGTCGTCTGGTTCTGATATCTTTCCACCAATCTATCAGTGATAAGAGGTGGACATGTAGATAGATGATCTGATTAAAGACAGCAGATGTAGTTTGTAAATTGCAAGGAGTTTTTCTCATGTTAGGAGAGTAGCTTTACTTCCAACCAGAGCTACACTCAAGTGTACCTTCAATCAAACGTACAGTATTAATTCCTATAAAGGGTTAGGCAGAGTGAATTATTTAGTGATGCAGTCTGGCTGGTCTTTCACATTGTTCAACAAATCCAGTAACCCAATTCCACAGAAACCTAACTCTGAATTTTTAGGTAAATCTGAAAGATACTTTAGGCTGTAATCACAAACTGAGATTGGTGGACTCTCCCTAGGCTCTGGATTACTGAGACCAATTACATCAAGAAGACTGGTTGCGTAGACTAGATTTTTATTCCTTTCTCTGTAGAAAGTGTTGGGTGTGATCTAATTGGGGTGTTTAAGATGATTAAAGAAGTTGAGAGGGTAGATCAAAAGAAATTATTTTTGCTGAAGGGCAAGGTGGAGGAAAAATGGGGGCTAATCTCAATTAGAATTCTGCCAATCAAGAAACATTTCAGACAAAGGGCAGTGGAAGTCTGGAACCATCTGCTTTTGAGGATGGGAGTTAGCAGAGATGGGAGGCAATGGCCTAGTGGTATTATCACTGGAATGTTAATTAAGAGACCCAGGGAATGTTCTGGTGACCCAGGTTTGAATCCCACCATGGTAGATGGTGAAATTTGAATTCAATAAAAATCTGCATCTAAGAGTCTAATGGTGGCCATGAATCCATTGTCAGTTGTTGGAAAGACCCATCTGGTTCACTAATGCCCTTTAGGGAGCGAAATCTGTTGTCCTTACCTGGTGTGGCCTACGTGTGACTCCAGATGTACAGAAATGTGGTTGACTCTTAACTAATTAGGGATGGCCAATAAATGCTTGCCTAGCCAGTGATACCCTTATCTCATGAATGAATTTTTAAAAAACTGCAAATCTGACTTCTTTTTGGCAGGGGTACAACGGTTATGGAACCAGTATTTGTAAATGGAATTGCAATATGAATCAATTACGGGGTGGCAGAATAGACTTGAGGGGCTGAATGGCCAATTCCTCTCATATAGGAGGTGCAAGGACAGCTGCTGTACACATCGGCACTCAGTCTCGCAGGCCTGAGCAGTCGAGTGCAGGATGGGAGCTTCCGTTTAGTTTTTTTGCAGGACTAGGATCATACAGAAACCACTGCAAACGTGAGGTTTCTTGGAAACTGTGTCAACTTTCACCCAAAACTATGTTGCACTGACAGATGAGTGTCCAGTGTAATTGCAATTCGACTCATTGGCCTGAATTCTCATCCCCAGATCGAGGGAATTCCCAGCTCTGCAAACCCGACTTACAAAAATAGTTGCCTTGATATCCAACCTGGACAGATGTGGGGTGGAGGATGCCGCATGCAATGAGGGCTGAGTGAAAGGGCTCTCACTATGCACAGGCATTGTGTTGAATTAACATTATTTTATACAAAAACCGTTGCCCCTCAAAACCCCTCACCTCCATCCTCACACTCGACTATTCCAACCCGTGGTCACTACCCACCACATAGCATGCCTTTCCACCTAGTATCCACTTAGACAGACTTCAAACCCCTGAAGAGACAAGACAAAGTTTGTTTAAATAAAGCCCTTTAGACTCTAAGACAGAAAAACACACACAGCTATAAAATCCGATTTATTATATTTGCATTCCTTCATACTACATCATGTCTTATAAGAACAAAAATTTCAGTAAAGTGCACAAGCCTTGATAACAAACATTGAAATTCATTTGTAGTCCCACCTCAAAGAGCCTTAAGAGCCAGTCCACAGATTGTGTACAGGTTCTGTTCTGCACTCCATTCTCAAGTCAATTTATGTGTAAGTCAGACCTGTTATGCACCAGACCAGACCCCTCAAAATATTTTGAGAAGGTAGCCTAGACCCTAAGTTTTTCTTATTATAAAGGTGGATGTGAAATGCTGTGTTCCAGGTGTGATGGGACTGGTCAAGCTACTTGACGTTAAGCAAAACACAATTTACTTAAACACTATAGTTAAAATACAAACCAAAAGAAAGAGGAATTTAGTATAACTTAACTATTGGAAAACTGAACCAAATAATAGAAACAGTACCTATTACTAATTAACTGTTCCAAAATAGTAACATCATATGAACACACCCCTTGGCAGAAAGGCAAATTCAGACACAGATTCCCACATGCAGTTCTCCAATCCAGGAGGAAGAAACATCAAGAGAAGATTCAGAGAAAGTAGCAGCAAGAAAACATTCACTGAAGCTTCCAACTCTTTTGAGACACCAAACGTTTCTGCTCAAAACTAAATCTAAAAACTAAAAAAAAAACTGGAAAGCCTGGACTGTGAGAGAGCTGGCCACTCCTAGGCCTGCTTACATTGTTCCAGCTTTTGAAAAACTCCCCAGAGGCTCACAAATTGTTTACTTTCTTAAAGACAGCTCGATACCTCTGCCTTACAGCATCTGTTCAAAATAAAAGGACTAAATAACCTCATAAAGTGACAGCATCATCACAGAAACAATGCAGGGCAATGTAAAACAGCCATTTGTAAGTACATGAAATGTTTGTATGACAAGTCTGTAAAATTTACACCCCCGTATGGGATTGCATTCGTAAGTGCGAGCACATGTAAGTCAGGGGTTCATAAATCGGGTAACCCCTATATCCACTTTGAGTTCTTAATCAAAACATGAAATGGCAGGCACCTTGCTGTTATAATAGATGATTGTGAAATCAGTCAAGCAGTCATAATCCAAGAATGGAAACCAACAGGTTTACATCAACACACACAGTGAAATAAACTTTTTAAAAATCTTGACAGCTTTACTGCTCCCTTTGAAAGTTGCTTTTGACAGTTGATTTTGACAGGTCTGTTCACTTTTCCAGTGAGCTTGACAGTGAATGAGTTTATGCATCTTTCTGCATATTCATGCTTACGTCTAAATATCCCAAAGGGCACCATGATTTTCTCAAAGGTGTCCCAAGACCATATCCAGAAAGGTATCTTAATGCTCCAAAGGAATCAGCTAGCTATGTACAGAAATACACATAGTTCAGATCTGCCGATACCATATCTTCACTCTCCTAGATTGCCAAAATTGCACAGAAGTAGAAAGAGATGATGATTTAAATGCCCTGCTGCCTCCATGCTTTACACAAATCATGACAAGACCCTATTTCTGACCCTGAGAATATGTGAAGTGCCACGTTTGGGGGTGGTACTTGTAATACAGGCTGGGCATCTGCCATGAGAGAGAGGCTGTCCGGGCGGGGCGGGCAAATATGTGCGATCACTTTGCCCATGTGTCTGTTGCATTGTATGGGAAATAGATTGAGAAGAAAAGCTTGTGTGTTTATATTGTGCTTGTTGTGACCTGCGACATCCCAAAACATTTTAAAGCCAACTATATACCTTTGAAGCTGGAGCTGTATTGGAGATGCTGCAATCAAATTACAAACAGGCAGGCAGCAATGTGATGAGGACTGGATAATCTGTTATGGTACTCCTGATAAGAGGAAAGATTATTGTCCAGAACATTATGCAGCTCTTCTTCCGTGTCGTCTTTAATATCCACTTGAGAGGGCTGTGACTGACCATCTCTTTTGGAAAGCACCTCCAGCTATGCAACATTTCCTAGTGTCTTTTGGTCCAATACAACAGCATAAAAGCTCTAAAGAACATCTTAAGGGATTCAATCTTCACTTTCTACACTTAACTCATTCATGACCCTTCTCCCTGAAGCCTGTAATATTATTGTCCATTCGCCAAAAAGTTCAATGAAATGCCATGTCCCTGATCCATTAGGAATAAATAGTTGGTGGTTTTTAAAACCCTATGAAGGAAACAGTGTACTGATGCGAACAACCTCGGTTCAATTCCTGCACCAGCTGAGATTACCATAAAGGACTCTCCTTCTCAACTTCTCCCCTCACCTGAGGCGTGACCCTCAGGTTAAACCACCACCAGTCATCTGTCTCTAATGAGAGAGCAGCCCTGTGATCTGATAAGATTATAGCGACTTGACCTGACTCGTTCAGCAATAGAAAGTAAGAACTTGTATCTATACAGCACTCTTCATAATCTCAGGGCATGCCACGGTGCCTTACAGGTGACCAGATGCTTAACTTTAAATGTGGGCATTGCTGTAATGCGGGAATATGATGAAATGAGTTAAGGAAAATGAATACCACTCTTGGATGAATTGCATAGTAGGTTTGAGGGAAAAGTTTGAACATACTCAATGTTACATAAAATGTGTGTTCCCACACAGAGATGGAATGAATTGTGTTGTATATGGCTCCCAACACTCTTCACATTTGGGAATTAACTCCTTGTTTGGGCAGATTTTCATCCTTTGAATGATGACTATCCTTGGAATAAAGGAACCGTCCACAGTGAGATGCAATCTTGTTGATCCAGTTGGACTTAGTTTGGTTTGTATTGATAATCGAAGATAAATGGCTGGTAAATATAGTAGCTGAGTTGACCCGAAAAGAACTGCTTCTTTTTAATTACTTTCTATCCTCCGCCTCATCCAACCCCCTAGCCCAGACTCGAAGGGAGCTCAAAGTGCAGCTGGATCACATTCTGAAGGCACTTTTAACATTGCTGTATCTGCATGCTGTAAGTTGGTTGGTGTAACAGTGTTTCCGACCGGTTTGTGAAAGCTAAACACCCTTTTGTTTTCTGCACAGCCACAGACAAACAACAGCAAAAACAACATAGTCAGCACCCCAAAGGAAAACACATCTCAACCAACCACAATGGTACCTGCTGAATTCTTTCATTACCTTTGTATTGTAACTTGACCTCAGTGAGGCCAACAACATGTTTCTCATGATAGTAGGAACTGCAGATGCTGGAGAATCTGATATAACAAGGTGTAGAGCTGGATGAACACAGCAGGCCAAGCAACATCAGAGGAGCAGGAAGGCTGACGTTTCGGGCCTACACCTTGTTATAACATGTTTCTTGTGCTTATTTTTCCAGGGGACAGTCTGTATTGCAGTCCAGAGGTCAGCCAGTTTCCTCTGGGTGTGCACTAAATGATGTTAGGTTATAAGCTGCACATTATTTTGGTGCCAGTTTATGGTATCGGGCAGAAACGACAGTCAGCAATGTTCACAGGTTCGAAGGAATTGCTGGAAATCTGAAATCAGAAAATGCTCAGCGTATCTGGAAGCATCTGTGGAGAGAGGAGGAGAGTTAATGTGAAAGCAAAATAATGAGGATGCTGGAAATCTGAATAAAACAAGAGCTGGAGTTACTCAGCAGATCTTGTAGCATCTGGAGAGAAAGAAACAGTTAACATTTCAAAAATAGTAGGAACTGCAGATGCTGGAGAATCCGAGACAACAAGGTGCAGAGCTGGATGAACACAGCAGGCCAAGCAGCATCATAGGAGCAAGTCCAGTTGAAGAGTCTTATCGGGCTTGGAATGTTAATGCTGTTTCTTTCATCACAGTTACTGTCAGATCTGCTGAGTTTCACCTGCACTTGCTGTTTGTATTTCAGCAGAATTCCTGTGTCAGGCTGATGGGAGGTGTTAAGGGATTAACAATTTTTAAGCCCGAGGGACTGGGTTACGAAAGGAATCAAAAGGGAATAGGATCAGGGGTGAATGGATGATGGATGTGATGGTGGTGCAAGGCAAAGGTAGGCGACAATGAGACAAATAAAGGAACAAAGAGAGATCTGGAGCAAGTGTGAATTGTTGCAGAACAATAGCAAAGAAGGGAAGCTTGGGAAACCTGACAAAGCAGAGAGTGTTGGAGTGCTCCAGCAACGCAGTTGTTTGGAGTTGGCCCAGACACAGAGATGGCCATTGAAATGACCACCTGCATATGAGTAAACGGGCTCGGTGATGCCAAGCAATATGGCTGACTATCGTTCCCGAAGCCAGCATGGCTTTGTCCTGCATGTAACGGCATCACCATCTGTGTATGCACCTCCGACTGAACGTCTGCTTGTCCGGGCAAGCCTAGGTCCGAAAATCTGTTAGCGGGGTCATGGGCCAGGAACGGGGACCACAGACTGGTGACGTGATGTTGGCTGTGGAGCAGAGCAACTGACAGCTACTTATGGTAGGTGAGAGAGAGAGACATTAACCAATGCTTCACTGGGTGCCTAATCAGAGGTTCAATAGACTATACTTTTGGTTGGAAGGTAGCAGCACCCATTGCTTGGCAATGACGTTGCATTGCCCAATGCAGTGTCCGCACTTGGATGCTCCGTTCTCCTGCAACCCACAGCTCTGAATGAAATCCAGGTAGACCCCACTGGTCTTGCAATGTTAGGCAGTCCCTGTCTCCTATTGCCAGCACTTTCTCCTGGAGAAGATAGGAGCAATGGTTGAGACCTGAAGTTATTCAAGCTTTATTTTATAATGTGAAGTGAGACCGAGAAATATGAATTGGTTATTGAAGTGACAACAGTGGTGATAATGTTGGAAAAGGTAATGGGGTACATTTTCAAGCCTGCATTGTCCACTCTCAAGCACATTAAATGTTAATACTGGAGAAGCAGATCAAAATAAAATGACCACTATTTTTGAAAGTGTCCATGAATAGCATTGGAAACATGTAAATAGTGTGGAGGTTAACCTGGACCATTATTGTATATGGCAACTCAACAAACTGGCATGAAAATCTTACATCCAGTAATTTAAGAAGTGTTAGTGCATCTAAAATAAACGTCTTCATCGAGATAAAAGACACAATATTTTTTATAATAATGCTCAGTATAATTGATGCCTTGTATTTTATTGGGACAATCTGACAAAATGTTTCAAACTGCTTCAAATATAATCCAAATGAGATTTGCTATTGATCAGCTTTGCTCTGTAATTTGAAGAATGGAAACATGAGCATAATCTTTTTTAAGAAAAACTTCTTAAAAAAAATTTTATGAGAAAAAACCTGACTGGCATGAACCAACAACACAAAGCAACCAGAACATTGACCTGCCTTTGTCTTTTAGATACCAGTGCGTTGCCATCATTTCTCGGTTTTACTTCAGATTTGCAGGAATCATGGGATTTTCTTTTATTTGTAGAATTTAACATCAATTGCTATTGGGTCTGGAGTATTTTGAAATGACAAGTTCGGTGGTATACAGATGAAGTAATTCAGGTTCCTGTATTAGTCAATACCTTAATGTTGCTTAATGTGATTTGTTAATATTGTTAATGCCCCTGTCCTCCAGTTGGGACAGTGTGTAATTACTAAGACTCTATACTCCCTTTCCTACATTATTTTTTATGACCTCATGTCCCTATGGCCTTCATTATACCAGGCTTGATTAATTTCATAGTTGCATTTATTTGGAAATCTCTAGCTGAAGAATGGAAGGATTAGCAATGAACGACTCAAGCCAGTTGTCCAGTGACTGGATATCGAAGTCTCCAACTTTCCTAGATTGTTACTTCGACAAAGCTAACTTGGCCATTTTTTTAAACATATGCTGACTTTGTTGCAAATGGGATCACATAATGTCTATTGAAGCCGAATATGTTCTGAAATGTTACCTGTCATTGTTTTGTTCCCATTGTTTTAAATAAAAATGAAGACAGATGTCACCGATGTTGAGCTGAAAGATTTATCTATTAAAGCTCTTTTCTCTCCCGTTTTATCTACTCAGGAGCCACAAACAACAGTAGTCCATAATCCTGCAGATGGCATTAAGGTAACAGTTTGGAGTCTACTATTCTGAATTTCTTGTGATTGTATTTACTGAATTTTGCCTTTTTCTATTGAAGACACAGTGATACTCGTGGTATGTAACAGAGGCCTAACTTCAAAGAGCAGGTTTCAGTCAGACTATTGTTCTCATAGATTAAGTGTATGGACCATGAGATTACCCCTATAGCACCTTCACTTGCAGCTGGGTGATGAAGTTTCTCCTTATTTCAATCCTAAGTGGTTTACAGAGTATGCTTAGACTGTGACCTCTGGTTCAGGTCTCCTTTGGAATGTGCTTCCTATGTTTACCCTGTCTCATCCTGTTAGACAGCTGAAGGCATGACCACCAATGATGAAGCAATTAACATTGGAAAAACTGTACAAAAGCCACAATAAATGTGCGTACATCCTGAGTTTGGAGAGCTTACAAAAATAGGGAGTGGCAAGGCCATGTAGTGTTTTGAAAGTAAGGGACTGGGAGCCAGTGTCAGTCAGCAGACAGAGTCTATTCATTTCCATTCTCTTGATGATGATGAACTCTGTGATCTACAGTGGCTCAAAACAAAAAGCAACAAATTGTGTTAAACTTGAGAGGTTACCTTAGTGCCAGTTCAACACCCTAAAGCTGTAGCAAAAGAGCATCCTTTCAGACATATCAGCTGTGACTTTGCTCGAACCAGCGTTATTCGCTCAGGTGTATAGCTGAGCACAACAGCTTGCATTCCAACACGTTCAGTCACCAGGACTTCAGCATGCTGCTGTTTTGCATGTTGACTTATGTGAAAGTGTTAATTTGCCAAAGAAAACCCTTTGAATTGAATTAAGAAGTTGCACCTAAAGATAATGTGTTTTGAAATTCAGCAGACGCCATTATTGTAGAATTCTGTTTTTAATATGCTTTGAGTCACTTTTATAACCCATACTGGATCTCCTGGGTGCTAAGGTTTCTGAATGTAATATAAGGTATACTGTATTGAATAAATTCATACAGATTTAGAGTCCTAGAACCATAGAGTCCATACAGTGTGGAAGCAGGCCATTTGGCCAATTGACTCCACGCTGACCCTCCTAAAAGCATCCCACCCAGACCCACCCCACTACACTATCCTTGTATCTCTGCATTTCCCATGGCTAACCCATCTAGCCTACACATCCCGGATACAATGTGGCAATTTAACATGGCCAATCCACCTAACCAGTACATCTTTGGACTGTGGGAGAAAACCTTAGAACAGGGAGAAAATGCAAACACCACGCAGTCGCCCAAGGCTAGAATCGAACCCAGGTCCCTGATACTGTAAAGCAGCAGTGCTAATCGCTGAGCCACTGTGCAGCCTTTTAGAGAATTATATCTTGCAGATGTTTTCTCTGTGGATCTGCTTTTTTAACACAACCTTCCCTTCTCTCAAAGTCTTCCATTCCTGGATGTCTAACTGTAGTAAGAATTGGTTAAATACACCAGCTGTTAAGGGGCTAATTAAGGTCCTTTAACTGCAGCCTTGATGATGTGGTCAATTAGTTGGGTGACTACTTTAAAACATGCTGTTAATGCTGTCTTTCAGTGGGACATTAGTTAGATCTGAGGCACCCCATCAGCTCTGTCAGTTGGATGTAAATGTCTCCATGGTACTGTTTTGCAGAAGGGCAAGGGAGTAATTCCTGTACCCCGGTCAATATTTATCCCTCAAGTTACATAATTTAATACATGTGTCTTGGTATTATCATATTGCTGGTTGTGTAGGTTTGCTGTTTGCAAATTGGCTGCTACAGTCTGTACATTATAGCAGTGACTGCACTTCAAAAGTGCCTCATTGGCTGTGAAATGCTTTGGGACAACTAAGTGAAAGATGCAAATCTTCTCCTTTCAATGTGTTGCCTCCCTAGACTTGCAGCCCACGACCACCCAGGAGTTAAAGAAAAATGTTTCAAACAGGTTTCCCATCCTGCGAGTCTGTTTGAAACGTAATGTGAAATAGATTGTGAGCTAATTGTTGTCGGTCAATATGTGAGTGTGCCTGTCGTCTGTATGTTGTATTTCACTGTTCTTTTCAGTTTGCTTTCTCTTTTACTGGGGAGAAATCGCAGACCAAGGTCATACCTACACTGGCTAAAGGCAAAAAGCTGGTGTCTAAGTTAGTCAGAAAGTAAAAGTACACCAGCTCACTGGTTAGCACTGCTGCCTCACAGCACAGGGACCCTGGTTCAATCCCTGTCTGTGTGGAGTTTGCACATCCTCCCTGTGTCTGTATGGGTTTCCTCCAGGTGCTCCGGTTTCCTCCCACAGTCCAAAGATGCACAGGCTAGGTGGATTGGCCATGCTAAATTGCCCTGTAGTGTCCAGGGACCTACAGGCTAGGTAGATTAGCTGTAGAAAATGCAGGGGTCTGGGGATAGGGTGGGGTTCTGGGTGGGATGCTCTCCAGAGGGCGGGTGCAGACCCGATGGGCCGAATGGCCTTTCCCCCCACTGCAGGGATTCTACGATTCTAAAGATAAAGTCACCATACTCCCAGAGGGCAGCTGCCTCATTAGAGACTGATGACTTGTGGTGGCTTGACCTGAGGGGTGATGTTGAGAAGTCAGGACCTTCGTGGTAATCTGGTGCAGGAAGTGCGGTGTGGTCAGAAAGTAGTGTAATACAACAGACAGTAAATTGCTGGTGAGACATAGTAGGAACTGCAGATTGCTGGTCACCTGATTAAATTGGTAAGTGTGTGAAAATTCCCAACAGTTGGTTGGTCTGTTTTCTCATGGTGCATTCCTGTTGTCACTAAGATTAACTGTTGGCAAAAAAAAATTATCCATCTTCACAAGGACTCCATTATAACAAGTGCTTCTGCAGCACAGCCTGTAAACAGTTTCTGTCCTCTCATATGAGACATTTACAGAGGTGAGCTAGTGTTACAGGCACTGGGGAGTGAATCATAATGATTACAATATTTCAAACATAGCCTGAGAAACTAAAACCCTGGATTTGTTTCTAAGTGGCGACAATTACTTTAGGGAATGATGCTTTTTAATGTTTCAAAGATGATCTCAGGATTTCTTGAAAAGGTTAATGGCTGCACTTTTTCTCCCCCCCTGAGTGATGTCCTTCCAGCCAACAGCAATTTGCTATAAGCCTTTAACTAATGGCCTATTTTGCAAATGGTGAGGGCCTTAGAAATATTTACTGCTGACAAATCCAACAATAAAAGAACTGCAGCCCCTTCGACAAATCTCAGGAACAGTAAACAAATCTGTCCTCGCATGGCTGGCTGTGTATTGCTGCTTGCTGGAAGCACAGTGACGCAGTGAGTTGCATTAAGCGCAGTTCTTCCACAGCCTGTGTTACTGACGCTGGCTTGTGCAAGAGCAATTGTCATTGCAATGGCTACAGTAGCGGAGGAGGCAACAGCTTCATTTCCACCTTTATTAGCTCCAATTACAATTATTCAGGTCCTGGGGAGAAGAGAGCATTGGGGGAGGTGGTGGGGGAGGTGGGTAATTAACAGTCTCTGTGTGGGCTATCTCACAGCCAAAAGAAAGAGCAAATTAGCAGCCAGTATTCCAACCCCCGTATCTGCAATATGTTTTGTGAAAAGACAGTTGGTGTGAATGGGTTTGATCAAATGGATAGTCACACATGCATAGGAGCCACTTGAATATCCAGGGGACCACACCTTTAGTGAGGACTGAAAGGGGAAAAAAAAGCCAGAAGGTAGAAAGCTGAGAGGGAAAAGCAACTCAAAATTGAATTTGCAATTTTTCTTTTTAAGAACTGTCATCAAAGCTGCAAACTGGAAATTTTCAAAACCTAGCCTAGGCTGTAACAACCTGGATGCTTTTCTCTAATCATTTGATCTACATTTATAAATTGAATTGTGAATGACCTCAGCACAAGAATGTTTCCCAAACCTTCCTGCATCGTTTGATTTGGGCTGACCGGGATTCTGTGCAGAAACAGAACTGCCAGTTGCGGATCCACTGATGCTGATTGGAAGTGGCAGCTTAGAAATTAGTGGCCCTTTATTGCACAGTTGATGTGTAATCTACGCTACAAAAATAGGGAGCATCTCTGTAGGGATTTGGGAGATATGACGGTATTTTTTCTCAAGTAGAGTGCTGAAACACACACATACGTTTACAGAGCACTTGAGAAAATTTGCTTGTCTCTCTGAATTATACCATTTGTTGCCGAGTATTTTACCTAGAGCTGGAAGACTAGATGTGGGACATAATCAGAGTGAAACGCTGTCTCTTTTCTGACATTAAATGTCTTCAGGGTTTAGAGTGTTTACAGAATGGTCTTAACGTATGCGTGGCAACATGTTAGGACAATATATTTGCTGAGGGAAGACCTTTCTGTCTATGTCAGATTAATGCTAATAATGTCAAGGTCATGGGTTCAATCCGCCTCTTGACCAACTCTGCAGGCTTCCAACCGCTAAGTGGACGTTGGGTATTTTCTTATGGCGGCTCGGTGGCTCAGTAGGGGTGGCACAGTGGCTCACTGGTTAGCACTACTCCCGCACAGCACCAGGAACCCAAGTTCAATTCCAACCGCAAGCCTGTGTGGAGTTTACATGTTCCCCCCATGTCTGCATGGGTTTCCTGGGGAGAGGGGCAATAAATGCTGGCCCAGCCAGAGATGCCCACTTCCCCTGAATGAATAAAAAGAAAAACCTTGAACATTGAACACTTCTCTGAGATCTCAAGACTTGTTTTTGAAGCAATTCACTACGTTGATCTAGGCAATAAATGAATAGTGAGCATTAATGTGGCATTGTGGCTCAGCGGTTAGCATTGCTGCCTCACAGCACCAAGGACCCAGGTTCAATTCCACCCTTGGGCGACTGTCTGTGTGGAGTTTGCACATTCTCCCCGTGTCTGCGTGGGTTTCCTCTGGGTGCTCCGGTTTCCTCCCACAGTTCAAAGATGTATAGGCTAGGTGGATTAACCATGCTAAATTGCCCCATAGTGTCCAAGGATGTGTAAGCTAGATGGATTAGCCATGGGAAATGTAGGGTTACAGGGATAAGGTAGACAGGTCAATCTGGGTGAGATGTTCTTCGGAGGGGCGGTGTTGATACAATGGGCTGAATGGCCTGCTTCCATACTGTAGGGATTCTATGATAAGGGGCAGCGAGAGACAACAGGGAGCAGAACATCTTGGTTTTGAGTTCAACTTCATGCCACCACTGTGCCCACCATTTCCTCATCCCCTTGGATGCTCCTGGTCCACTTCCAACTATGGAAAAGTTCTGTGAGAATAACATAGTATTTAACAGTTGAAGATTCAACATGAAAGAGATAACAAGAACAGAGGACCCACAACTCCATATTCCAAATCATGAGGAAGATTAATGGAATTTTTATGCGTGAAGTGCACAAAAGCAACGTTTTTTTAATATAGGTTCCCCACAGTGTGGAAACAGGCCATTTGGCCCAACAAGTCTGCACCGACAGTCTGAACGGCATTCCACCCAAACCTATCCCCATAACCCTGCGTTTCCTATGGCTAACACACCTAGCCTGCACACCCGTACGGGTAATTTAGCAAGGCCAATCCACCTAACTTGCACATGTTGGGACAGTGGGAGGAAATCGGGGCACCCAGAGAAAACCCACACAGACACAGGGAGGATGTGCAAACTCCACACAGACAGATGCCCAAGGGTGGGATTGAACCCTGGCACTGTGAGGCAGCAGTGCTAACCACTGACACACCGTGCCACATTAATGCTCACTATTCATTTATTGCCTAGATCAACTTTGTGAATTGCTCTCAAAACAAATCTTGAGATCTCAGAGAAATGTTCAAGGTTTTTCTTTTTATTCATTCAGGGGAAGTGGGCATCTCTGGCTGGGCCAGCATTTATTGCCTCTCTCCCCAGGAGAATGTGGTGGTGAGCTGCTTTCTTGTACCGCTGCATTCCATTTGGTGTGGGTAGACCCACAATGGCCTGAGGGACAGAGTTCCAGGATTTGACCCAGTGACAGTGAAGGAACGGCAATATATTTCCAAGATAACAAGGTGTAGAGCTGGATGAACACAGCAGGCCAAGCAGCATCAGAGGAGCAGGAAAGCTGACTTTCGGGTCTAGACCTTTCTTCAGAAATGGGGGAAGGGAAAGGGATTCTGAAATAAATAGGGAGAGAGGGGGAGGCGGATAGAAGATGGATAAAGGAGAAGATAGGTGGAGAGGAGACAGACAGGTCAAATAGGTGGGGATGGAACCAGTAAAGGTGAGTGTAGGTGGGGAGTTAGGGAGGGAATAGGTCGGTCCAGGGAGGACGGACGGGTCAAGGAGGCGGGGTGAGGCTATTAGGTCATAGATGGGGGTGGGGCTTG